GAAACGCTGCCTGGTGCTGCGCCAGTCTCACGGTCATCAGGGTGCTTGGACCCACCGCTGCGGCCCCGTCACTCCGTCTCCTTGAGGGCTCTCCTCCTCACTGACCCTCCACTTCACCAAGCACGGTGTCCATGTCCAGGGACTGCACCCTCTGACAGCATGACCAAAGCACGTGAGATGAAGTCTCCCCACCCTTGCTTCTAAGGAACATCCTGGCTGCACTTCCTACAAGACAGATTCGTCCATTCGTCTGGCAGTCCATGGTTGTGTTAGACTGGGTTCTCTAGAGAAGCAAAACCAGTAAAGCTTAGAGAGAGAGAGAGAAAGAAAGAAATTTATCTCAGGAAAATGGCTCACACGCTTATAGAAGCTGGCAAATTCCAAATTCTTGGATCAAACGTCAAGCTGGAGGCTTTTCCCGACTCGGGCAGCTGCAGAGGCTGAGGAGCTCAAGGTTGGCAGGCAGTACGCCGGCTGTTGACTCCAACAAATGACGAATCCAAGATCTCCAGGCCGAATGGTGGATTGTTCGCTCACGGACAGTTGTAGGCAGTACAATAGAATCCCGATTCACAGAAGAGCGTCTCTTTTCCCAGGATGTCCATAAATATACTAGAAGCAGGACACACCCCAAGGTAAACTCCCTGTCAACGGATTGGCTGCTCAAAACATATACATCTGATCCCATCACGGGAACAACCCACATCACAACTGCTTAAACCACACGGAATTGTGGTCCAGCCAAGTTGACACACAGCTCACTATCACAGCAGGATATTCAATATTCCTTACCAACACCATGATTCAAAGGCATCAACTCTTCTTCGGTCTTCCTTATCAATGTCCAGCTTTCGCATGCGTATGAGGTGAATGAAAATACCGTGGCTTGCGTCAGGGACACTTTAGTCTTCAAAGTGACACCTTCACGTCTGAACACTCTAAAGGGGTCTTTTGCACATGTTCCCACTGCAATACGTCACATGATTTCTTGACTGCTGCCTCCAGAGGTGTTGACTGTGGATCCAAGTAAAATGAAATTCCTGACAGCTTCGATCCTTTTTTATCATGACTGGTCCAGGTGCAAGGGTGTTTGGGTTCTTTACGTTGAGGTGTACTCCATACTATAGGTTGTAGTCTTTGACCTTCACCAATAAATGCTTCAAGTCCTCTTCACTTACAGCAAGCAAGGCTGTGTCGCCTGCATATCACAGGTTAACGAGTCTTCCTCAACCCTCATGCCGTGTTCTTCTTCATATAGTCCAGCTTCTTGGATTACTTCCTCAGCATACAGACTGAGTATGGGGAGAGGATACAACCCTGACACACTCCCTTCCTGATTTTAAACCACGCAGTATCCTCTTGTCCTGTTCTCACAACTGCCTCCTAGTCTATGTACAGGTTCCTCACGAGCAAATTCAGTCAGTACGTGTGTGTCCTCAGTAAAAGTTGGTAAGACCCACCTGGCATTGTAACCATGTCTCGACAGAGACACCAGCGCCGTGAGCCCACTCTCCGTGTTTCTCAAGGACAAAGCACATGCCTTTCAGATTCTTTTCTGTGATCTAAGTTACTATCCCATAACAGATTAACTGCACATGATGTCATCACCACTTGACCTCGGACTCTGCGGGAACCTGTGGTTCAGGGTCCCGGTGAATCCCTGAAGTACTATTCAGGGGGCTAGAAACTAGACGAAAGGGTCATGTCCAGTGAGGCCAACCCAGTAATGGGACACCCATTCTCTGGATCCTGAAACAGCTATTAGAGGACACTCTCTTCTGTGCAGAAGATCTGGTGGCACAGAGGTTAAAGCATTCAGCTACTAACCAAAAGGTCAGCAGTTTGAACCCACCAGCTGCTTTGCACAAGAAAGATGAGGCAACTGCTTCTCTGAAGGTTGACAGCCTTGGAGACCCTGTGTGCAGTTCCCCTCTGTCCTCTAGGGGCGCTGTGGGTCAGAATGGACTCCA